ACACACTTGGCTGAAAAGAAATATAGGTTTGTCTAAAACATGTCCCACGTCATATACTAGTAAACTAATGTCAGTATACTCGCTAAACAGTTTTACGTAAATTAGTTTTACCCTAGGGCTAGTCTACAATAATTCCAGCTGATAACGCAACATGTGGGCAAAGGTAACAACAGTCAGTAGGATCAAAGGTCACCACCAAAGATGATATTATCCATTACATGTACAATGCAATTACAGGCACAGCATATAGTTATAAGCACTGTATTAATTATGATGCATGGTATCTCTTAGTGGTATATGTTTCACAAAGATCAGCAATATATATATATGTCATATGTTTGACTACTGAAAAAATTTAAGTACAATATAACTTCTTAAACTATTATTGTAACACATACAATTTGCAAAAATTCAACATAGCTCACTTTTAACAAGTACAAATGTGTAATTATTGTTCGTTGATAATGATTTGTAATTTGTTTTCGATTTTTAAACATGAATAGATAGTTTTCTAAATAAATTGAATAAATTTTCTAAAAGACAGCATGAAATTTGAAATTCATTATTAAAAGATAATGATTACCGGGGACTCAATATTTCTACAAAAATATGAAATATTTTTCCAAAAATGATGGTCTTGAATTGTCTAACAAATAGAAGTGGCTGAATAACTGTATACAATAATTTTACAATAATACATTTTTTTATGTCCTTCCATTCATTGCACATATAATAAGCAATGCTCCATAATTCTAAGCAATGTCAACAGAACACAACATATAGAATTTAGGTTGGTTAATTAAAGAGCGGTGTTCGTCGCGCAGCGAGTGTTCGAAATTCATGTAAATAAACAATGTATTTTACACGCATTGTGTACATCGTTATGAGTCCCATATCGAAGAGGATGCAGCTCGACGACCATTTCAATTGATCAAACTGCATACCTGGTAGATGCACAAAAGTTTTATGAAGCATGACGATGGTTTCTGTGTCCTAACACGTTTATTTGCCTGCAAGATAAATTCACTGGTTGTCAACTGTTGAAAAACTAAGCATGCCTGCTAGACATGACATCCCAGCATTTTACGTGCACTATAGCAGGTGCTATAACATCCGACAGAAGTTAATAAGAAACCTGGTTCATCATTACAATGTGGTTTAAAGGATAAATTCCGTACTATCTGTGATTTCATTTTTGATATGTGAATATACATGCAGTAATTATGATGAAAAATTAAATTTAAATTTTTTTATTATAAAATCAAGAAATTAAAATTAATTTATTAATATCTACCATATTTAAATGCATGTTGAACTTTTTCCTTATGTACGAATACAAAAGGTCAAAGTTCATACTGGCCTTGCTGCTGATAAAACTTCCTAAAAAGCACATGGTCTAAACAGTTAGGGGTTTTCTCTCTATGTTCCCGGGACATAAAACTGAACGGCACTTTTTTTAATTTCATAAAATAACAGAAGTGAAGTTTATATACAACATTTTAATGTCATAAAATAAGTGAAGAAATATTGTTGTCTTATTAACTAGCTATCAAGTAAGGTAATCTACTAATCTGCAATCATTGTTTTACATCATTTGATCAAAAGTTGTTATTTTTCATTTTGTACCTAAGTTAGCATTTTCAATTCAGAAAACACCATAATATGAATAATGATTTTTGTGGACGAATTTGAAGGTAATCGGTTAAGATGATTATTGGAAGTATTAAAACTGCTGTGGTAAATAACAGAAATGCATAATTATAATTTTTAAATCCGAAATGTGGTATTTGTGGTAATTAACAAAATAATCAATTGATACATCACACACTAGACAATTGGATTACGGCACAATGCAATTATTAAACACCATCGCACCACAGACTCGTTTCTCTATCCACACTTGATATCCTATAAGGGGGGGGGGGGTAACCACCGGGTGACAGGCACATGACACTAGACCTGGCAATGACTAATACAGCCGGACAACTGATATCAGAACCATAAAAGGACATACCATTGAAAACCACAACCAGGACAAACGTGACTGAGAATATGATCGTTATATTTAACTTCCAGATATTAAAATACAAACGGCGGTTTCAATAAATTAATTGTATTTGTTTGTGAGCCGGTCAGTTTACTGTTATTTGCACGACATAATCCATTGTTGTGCAAATCTACTGTACTGTACCGTAGCCGCCAGTATTATGGACATCGATATTAATATCAACAAATTAAAACAGCAGATGTCAGACGGTCTTTGCTGTGGAAGTACAGAGAGTGCTGAATGGGAAAACAACATATCGACTCGGTCTTCTACTACTAGTACTAGCTGTACATACCATGGCCCTGGGCAATGCACATTTTTAACTGATTTTTCGTACCTGGTTTTATCCAGACGGACGTCCACTCTTCCATATACCGCGCCACCTTCGATTACGATTAAGGTGTCATCTGTTTTTGTAGAGAAACGGGAACGTCGTAGAAATACGTGCTATTTTCTTGAAGGAATCTGTCATTTACCATTAAGTCATGTGACTGCATTTGACCTATGACCGATTCGAAATAAAATTATCTAAGATGGCTGCGCCCTCACGACTGGATGGTTTTACACGCTTGCGTGAGTATTTCTATTATTATTTTTTCTCTTATATGGGCCGTGATCTGTTTCTAGTTCATTGGCAGTAGACTTGTTAACGTATCAGGTACAAAACAAAAGGTGAGTCGGAAGTACAGGACTGTACTTTTTTGGTCCGTACTCACCCGCATCATGTACAAAGTGCGTGTCGTCACTGTGTGGGTGGCTACTAGCTGTGGAATCGATTCACAGTCAATTCGTCCCAATTCACATTCGTTCCAACACATTCGTCCCACAAGTCGATGCGTCCATTTTTTTTTAATTTTTGGTCAGCGTAAATGGTATGGATCATGTTTATGGCCTAAAAGGACCACAGAATATTAGTTGGATTAAAAGTTTCTATAAAATTAGTGAAGAAAATAAAATAAAGCGTTTTGTTGAAACATTTTGAAACTATTCAAGACATGAAATCCCTAAAGCACTATGCTTGAATTAAACACAACAACAAAAAGGAAAATTATATAAAAGATCCCCTTGATCATCATGGCATCTCACTCCTCTGTAAGGTGAGGTCAAACGCAATAGACTTGGAAGGGAATAAAACAGGATGGGAAAATTATAAAGGTGATGGGGTATGTAAGCTTTGCAATGATGGAAAGGAGGATGTTTCTCACTTTTTATTTCTTTGCAAATCAACTAACCACTTGAGAAGTGAATTCTATTCAGCACTGACCAATACAATAGTGGAAAGTGGTGGAGAACCAACTATTGTTCATAGATTTTTCT